TTTTTTTTTTTTAAGGATTTCCAATATTGATGAAATTATGAAGAAGTTATGTGGTTAATGATGTTTACTTGTTTTATAGGCTTCTTCTCTTGAAATTGTTGTTTTAGAATTTCAAAATGCAACAGCTGAAGTTAGTCAAATAGTGTTCTACTTGCTCGGCGCAATGACCATTGTGGAGATAATTGATGCTCATCAAGGGTTTAAGCTGGTTACAGATTGTATAACAACCCGAAAACCGAAGCTACTATTATGGATGGTAATATTGTGACTCTATTTTTAAAGTTGTTTTTGTAATCTTTTTCTTCAAATACATGAGTTTTCTCTTTTGCTCTTGTCATGACATTGTCTTTATTTTACTTTTTATCCTTCTTCGACAGATTGGTTTTGTGACATTTTTCCTCAGTTCGGTTCTTGACAACCTAACAACTACCATTGTTATGGTTTCTTTATTGATGAAATTGGTTCCTCCATCAGAATACCGCAAGTACTGAGACCTAACACGTGTACATTCTTTAGCTAGTTTCTTGGTTTAAAGATTACGTGGTTCGCTATGAATAAAATAGTTTTACCTCTATAGTAAATCTCAAGGAACCACCAATTTATGACAGAGATTCTCTGTTTTGTGTAGGCATATTATCTATTATGCTAAAGTTATTTTTCTTTGATATAGAGCTATGCAATGTCGTATTAACATCGATTTTTATTTCTTAATATAACTTATATATGACAAGACTTCTAGGGGCAGTTGTGGTTATAGCAGCAAATGCAGGAGGAACTTGGACTCCAATTGGTGATGTTACTACAACTATGTTATGGACACATGGCCGCATATCAGCATTTCCTACTATGAAGGTTCTTCTTTGAGAGATTTAAATTACATTTATTTGATGAAAAAACTTGAATATGGTAATAGAGTTTTTTCCTTTTTAGTATCTTCTTCTACCTTCAATGGTTTCTCTTGTTGTTCCATTGGTCCTCATGTCATTTTCCAGGTTCATAAACTCTTTCTTACATTCTCAAATGTTGCAACTTTCTTTCAGTGTTTCCACTAAAGAGGCTGATGCGACTTTTACTTTCTTTCTTTTCTTCCTCAGCGAGGTAAATGGAATGGGATATAATACTTCTTGTAGTGTAGTACTACCTTATGAACAAATGGCTCCAAAAGCAAAGCTTGTAGTTGGAGTTGGCCTTGGAGCTTTAGCTTTTGTCCCAGTGTTTAAATCGTTAACCGGGTTACCTCCTTACATGGGTACCTTGTTGGGTCTTGGAGTTCTTTGGATTTTGACAGATGCAATTCATTATGGTGACTTAGAAAAACAATATCTAAAAGTTCCACATGCTTTATCTCGGATCGACACACAAGGAGTTATGTTTTTCCTTGGTATTTTGTTATCTATTAGCAGGTAAAATATTTGGAAAAAATCCCGTAAAATTTATTCCATATGCTAGAGATTAATAATGTTGCATGTTTCTTTCAGTCTTGAAGCGGCTGGAATTCTCAAAGAGATTGCATACTATCTTGATGCTTATATACACAGTGTTGAACTCACTGCAAGCATTTTTGGTGTTGTATCATCTATTATAGATAATGTACCATTGGTTGCAGCAACTATGGCGATGTATGATCTCTCGACATTTCCTAAAGATTCCGAGTTTTGGCAACTCATTGCCTTTTGCGTTGGAACTGGTGGTTCCATGCTTATTACTGGATCTGCTTCTGGAATAACTTTTATGGGTATGGAGAAAGTTGATTTCTTTTGGTATTTTCGTAAGGTGAGACTAAAATATCTATTTGGTTCACTTCGACATAGCACAATCGAAAATTCGATATTGTAAA